AATCATTATAGAATCGAAGTCCATTTAAATTTAGTTATTTTATCTTAAAACATCTTAAAGATGAAAGTTTTTCTACAGATGATAGAGGTATCCATGATTACCAATAACAATAGAAATTTAGTTATTTTGTCTCAAAAAAAAAAATCTTAAAATTCCACGATAGTGCAAGCACTGTTCACTTTCAAATGTTAAATTTCTCAATTATTTTTGTTTATTTTACCTCACTTCAAAGAATTCCAAAGTCAAAATTGACTAAAATATTTAATTAAGATTTTTATTATTTTGTAATTAGTTTTGTAAAGGAATGGAATAAATTATTTGTAATGAAATTGCCGAAAGTTAGAGAAGCTATAATTTTGAAGAAATAAACACGTAACGTCTCTTAACATTCTCGAGTTCACCGTTTGCATAACTATACCATTTTTTGCGTTTTTTTACTTATATTTTTCACACGTCTTTGATTATTTGTTGATTAAAGGAGCACTTTCATCCGAGGACCTTTGCGGCAGTTTATTTTGTTTCTGTATTGAATTTACTTTCGATTCTGATTGATTCAAAATCAAACGATTTTTTCTCTGTGATCAGTCACGTGTAATAAACTTCTGCAGCTTTTATGTCATGTACCGTATACGCAATGCATTGTAGGACATGTTTGGGACAGAACATGGCGGATTTCTTTTGTTTTCTCTAGAAACTGATCCCACAATGCATTGAAAATCACTAGTAGTGACGGTGTTTCTAATGAAACAGTTGTGTAAAAAAGATAAGTTTAACACCGTAAAAAAGTATGGGAAATAACTTACTGACGTTTCGGATGTTAATCCTTCGTCGGAGTAAAGAGGACGAAGGATTAACATCCGAAACGTCTGTAAGTTATTTCCCATACTTTTTTACGGTGTTAAACTTATCTTTTTTACACAACTGTGCCAGTAAACATTGGCTCCATTTAGTCTCCATTCCTATGTAAGGTGAATCCAATAAGTGAAATTTTGTTTATCAAAACAGTGTAAACATAGTCCCTTTCGGTCGTGCAATCTCCGACAATCGCCGTTCGCCGTTTTCCCCGACAATAGAGAGTTTTAGATTCACGTTTACTGCACAGGCCAAATTGGCTTTTAAGCTTTGTCTTAAAATTTCAAACAAACGTAAAAACGCTTCGAAAGGACGAAATGCATCACGGTATTGATGRAAGTATCAAGATGGTGGATTTCTTATAAAAACCTAAAAAGGAGTATATTTACAGACCTGTTTGTGAAAGAAGTCATTTTTGTTGTTTGAAAAACAGCCTGAAACACCAGGGAAAAAAAACGAATAACAACAGCACGGCTCAGTACTTTCTCCCATGATGCATTTCGGTCATTATACTGATGTTTTATTCATCCGTATTGTTTCGAGCATTTATGACGTCAACAAGATTAATACTATCAAAGTTCATTGCACTCTCTTAAATACCTTGGCATTTATTTATTCAGACTCCTTCGTAACATTGCTTACACGTGTGCAGTTGTATTTACCAAGCATGTTTTAGCTATTTTCTCTTGATCAACGTCATTAGGTAGAAGGATCATTTACAAGGTGATATTACAGACCGTTATTGGGAATACTGAATAAACTCCCGCGGTCCTTAAAAACAAAAAAACAAAAGCAAAAAAACATAACAAAAACTCAAAATAACCCGTCTTAACAGGTCGGTCGCTATTGCGGACACCTAGCTACTGCCCGGGGAATGTCCGCTATAACGAAAACCGACGGTATGTTTGCTTCAGTTGGTAGCACAGTAGCGGTAACAGCTCCCAGGGTTTGTAAATTTGTATGTGTAAAACGATCCACAATTACGGACCATGATTATTTGGTGCGCAGAGCAGCAACCTCCACGACTCCAATTGAAACAAGCTTTCCTTGTAATAGGCCCTTGTGCTACTGTGGGAGGCGCCTCGGCCAGCCATCCCGTTGCGTCGGTTTGACAGCGACTATGCGGTGGACATGTAGTTGGCAAACGATCGCCAGCAGGGCTTACAAAACGGTGCCACAGAATTTCATTAATGTCGGAGTCGCATTTCCTAGTACCCGAGGACACGTGATTGACATTACGTGTTGGGTCGCTTATGTTGGTGTAGCCCTCGCACGCCAGATCTGGATTGAAATTGATAGCTCAGCTTTAATACGACTCCAATATCAGAATGCTTTGGCTACCCTTTAAAATCTGCAAATGCTATCACTTACTCGCTCACTCACTTTACTGTTAACTAACTTTCTYAACATTTTTAAGTTCKTTAATTGGTTAAATRAAAATTCTTATATTTTGCAATAACTGTTTTAACACAAYAAATTATAAGTGGCGCTTTTAACATACCCAAGCATGAGCGACCATTCCCTACGTAGCCTGGATTACACTTGCAGGAGTATGAGCCCACGTTATTGTGGCATGTTGCGTTCGCATGACAAKTGTGAACACCAGAAATACATTCATCRATATCTGTAAATCAGATAAATAAGTTTGCTTCAATTAAGAATGSCCATTGATCAAACCATAGACCTTTTAAATCTCGATGAAAGACTGATGTTTTATTCATCAGTGTTGTATTCATGACGTCAACCATACTAATACTAGCAAAGTTCAATGCACTCCCTAGCCTCCTCCGCAGGCATCACTAAGAATCACGGGCTTCCTGTCTTTTTGATGAGTCAAAAGAGGGAGAATTTATTTTTGCTATCTCGTCACTAGTCCCTAACGGCCAAAATGACCGTTACAAAGGAAGCCCAAAGGAGGAAAAAAGAGTTGCCTGTGGAGGAGGCTATGCACTCCCTCAATACCTAGACATTTAATTATTCCGTCGCCTTGGTAACCTTGCTTGCACGTGCAGTTGTATTTCCCAGGCATGTTTGTACACGTGGCGTTCACGTGACAGGCGCCAGATGACGCACACTCATCGATGTCGATTTGACAGGCTTTTCCCGTGAATCCCGCGGGACATAGACAACTGTACGGGTCTCGATCCCATGGCATGTGTGGAACACAAGTCGCATTCTTGACRCATGGTGAGCTTGAGCACGTACTCTGGAAAGATATCAAATTTTATGTTCTAAAAGCTTTGGTAATGTTTTCATTAAAAAACTTAATAAACAAATCAGATGATGAGATCTTGATTGCAAGATTAATGGTAACTGTAAAAATTGTCTTTTGTGTTCTTTTAAACCCTTTTTTCTTTATTCTTTCGTATTTAATTACTAGTACAATTTGTATGGGTATTCATAGCGAGGGAATGAATTGTATTATATATTTTCTTTTTATATATTTATATACTATAACTAGCTTAGATAGGTGTCCCCAATTAGCCATATTATTGTAAGCTAGAGTAATCTATGATACATAAATAAAGTTTATTATTATTACTAACACTATTACTGCATTACCTCTGAAGTGTAGTATTCGCATCCTTTTCTCTCCGCCAAAAACGATTCATTCTTCAAATGGCTAGAGTTAAGWAGCCTGCACTCTTTCCATCCGTTTGGTRTTGAGCAAAAATTGAACGAAACACAGCCTTGCGTTTCCTGGAAGCACTTGGCCATGCACAACGACAGATCATTCACCGTCCAACCAAAGACAGCAATGGTGTGATTGACGAGCTCTTTGTCATCAGCAACTTTTGTGTACTTAATACGACGACATTTTCCTGGGTTAAAACAGTAGAAATTAAGTGCACTGTTACAAACAAGCAAAGTGACTGACGGACTGCTGAGCTCTACATGAVCTTTRTGGTRTACTCCTTGGAGGTGATGTTGGTATAGAGATTACAAAGTTTGATCAACTAACACCATAAAACTAACACCTTTRAATGATCAAGGAAAGAATGCATTGACAATACAGTATCCTGAGTTTCATTCAGCGATTATCAGTAAAAACCATCGGTTATTTTCGAAAATAAACCGGATGTACGCAGGCTACAATGAGGCCGCCATCTTGGATCATAAGACCTCTGAAGCTTTTAGCTTTTACGTCATGTACCGTATACGCAGTGCGTTGGGACAAAACACGGCGCATTTCTTTTGTTTTCTCTATAGCAACTAGTCCAACAATGCATTGAAAATCAAGTAGTTACGCAAAAGCTTCAGAAGTCTATTGTTAAAATGGGATCTGTATTCTTGATGATTGGCGTGGCGGTGATAAAATGTCACCCCTATAGGGGGGACCGTTCAATAACATATCGTTTTGCTTCGATTTGATTTTATTTGTGCTTTGGGACTAGCACGGTTAAATTGAAGTACTCATATTGACACGCTAAGTTATCAATTAGTAACGTTTACAGCAGGGGCGTCTAGCATGCTGTTTCCTGAATGGAAACGAAATAAGTGGACACAATTAAGCATCATGAATCAAATTACTGATATTTGAAGGAACCTTTGAGTTATAGTCAGTAGGGAGCTATCAATGGGGAATTTGAAATAGGAAGTTATGAAAAAATTGATAAGGAATCTTGAAAAATCGACGAAAATGATTAAAGATTATGAATCAACAGAAATGAAGTGATAATGCTTTTATCCTCATTGCGTTTATCTAGGTTGTCGTCATATGCCGGAATAAAATCGAAAGAAATGCAATAAAAATATCCTAATGACAAGTTGCGCTAATTCAACGCTGTCTACTGCAGTCAGTAAAGAATGAAAAAGCATTGGTTTGTTTGCAAGAGGGTCGGGATTGCTTTCATCCTCGTGTTCCTTTATACCTGGTGGAGAAGAAGAAGGTACAGAAGCTAAAATCTAGAAAAGAAATCCGTAACTCGCAAAAAAAATATGTTACAACTCGTATAAGTTCGCAGGAAACAATTCACAGAGTCGCGTTAACCGCAAAAGCACTAAAATAGGAAATTCATCAGACTTTAGTACGCTGAGGAGACAGCGTGTTGAAGTTCTCTGGACAACTTGGCCTGACTGTTTTGGCGCTCAAAATACGCCTTTTGTCTTACCTTCAACAGTGTTTATCATCAATGACATCCACAGAACTGCAAATATGATATGAATTTCCATTGAAGCCTGGTTTGGCGCAAAGCAAAGACAAATATACGATAAATATTAAAAAACATCTATGGAAAAGAGGAGAAAACATCTGGAATCAAGGTAATACTAACAGTTGGAATTCTTGCACACTGCGGTTCAATGAATATCACTTTTAAAGGAAAAACAGTCCAAGCTAAAAACTATTAGCAACTTTCGCTCAGACGGGGTACCTTAGTTAATGAGTATTGACTCTGGAGACACCTGTGTTTTGACCAAGCAAATTTTGAGTCCCAAACAATGGTTTGAATATTCATCTCATTAGTGAATAGATATTTTATTGTTATTTTGTCATGCAAAATCAGGATTAATATAATTTTTGTAGGCATTACAACCCATATTCTTAAGAGTAATGAGATTTAAAAAAAGATACATACTTATTACTAGACTGATAGACCTTATTATCTCTAATTAACAACTCTAATTAACACGGCTTGAAGATGATGTCGCGATAGTCGTGAGGCTGTACTAGGCCGAGTTCACACAAGGCCGAATGATCTAATTGTTTAAGTTTTCACCAAACTATAGGGCAAATTAAAAAAGAAAGAGACGACAAAGACGACAAAAGAACTCTTTTTCTCGACATTTTCTATTCCCTGTGCTTTGTATTTAACAATTAGACCTCGAGGTCGAGTGGACTACGAGCTAATAGCCCATGAGGCCGAGTCCGCGAGGCCGAAGTCCGCGAGGCCGAATGGGCTATTAGCTCGTAGTCACACGAGGCCGAGAGGTCTAATTGTTTTAGTATAAACATACTAATCGGTCATATAATGAAAACAAATTGAAATATCCTTAAAATAATTTATAATTTATGATTTATTTATTTTGATTTTCCCACGAGTGGTCTATCACAAATTAGACCATTAGTAGAGTAGCCAATCACAGCGCAGTATGAGTGATAGACCATTAGTAT